TGAAACTCCAAAGTCATCGCCGGTTATTGTCCATTTGTATAATGGCCGGCGGTTTCGCCCGAGCGTAGTATCTTCTCCGACGCTCTCTTTCGTTGAATAACATCTTTCTCTACAACGGCCCGCGACGAAAGAAGGAATTGCGGAGGTGTTGCCAGCGGCGTTACGTAAATCATGAAATGCAGATGTAACTCGCGCGAGCGTAATGAGTCTTTAATTTCCGAGATATTCGAAAATATATCGTCTGCCATAACGCCGTTAGATCGTTAGGTAATAACATTGTTAGGTAATATGAACGAACGGCACATTCGGAATATCGCATACACACACACACACACACACACACACATATACGCACAATATCCGGAATTTAATAGAATTTCATGATTGCGGAGATATGAGCCGGATAAAAGATGAATCTTTCAGATTTCTCGTCTGCATAAAGTTTCGCGGTAAAAAGATCGCGCTTCTGCAAAGATTCCGGAAATAGCAATCGTGCGCGAGGGAATTTTCGAGTCGCGTTTATCTCATGTCAAAATGTTTCATGAAACACGACTTATAGTTGGCTTGATGCAATCACGGATATTTTAACCGACCTTACTTGCGTAATAATTCCGAAAATTGCTGGCATTACAATGATATAATGTCATCGTACAGATACCCGCCTTGACTCCATCAAGCGAAAGTAATTAAGAGTCGGACGGTCCTAACGGACGGATCGTGCCTCGCCACACAGAAGTCGTGGAATCCGACTGGCAGAATCGTCATTTACTGGCGAGGCATGGCTGCTATGACTCAGCTTGTATGTCGCGTACAACATTGACGAATAATTTATCGGCGAGTGGCGCGTAAGCGGATAGAGAAGTATTAACGAACCGAAAGGCGCGCACGCGAAGGACTTTACTTCTTCTTTCGTCTTTAGTTGGGCGATAGAAGCGCTTACGGAACAAGCGTACTTATACTTTTCCTCTCTTTTTCTCTCTCTTTCTTCCCGTTTCATTCTCTTATTTTGCAAAAAAGACGGGGATTTGCGCGGGAATGCCTTCCAATCGAGCCGCGGTATGCAATTACGATCGCGCGACGAGGATGCATATTTACTTTGTTAACGGCGCCGCTGCCATTACGTCGACGGGCGATTAAATGAACGGGGGAGTTTCATTTTCCATTAGAATCTTATCGGCGATCTTGAGCTCTTGCGGCTATATAAGCGCTAGTCACACGCGTTATCGCATATAGTATCGCCCTACGATAACGGAATCGGCAAACATGGCTGCTTCGACGAAAAAATGCTTTTCTATACTGGTACGTCGCATTTAAGTGTTTCATCTCACATTGTTTGCATCATAACGATCGGGTTATCATAAAATGACCATGTTAATTGAATTCGCGATCAAACGATGTTTCCTATTTGTATCAATTATATTTGTTTCATACAAAATTCTTATAAAATCCAGTGTACCAGTGGTAAAGATGGCGTAAGGCTTGGCGATCTCTTGAAAAGAATTCCGTCTTTATCTTTTATACATATAATTTATATATATTTCGCATTTGAATGTAAATGTATTCACGTTTCTTGCCTTTTAGTTTCTTAACCGTTAAGTCAAACCTGTTCGTAATCAATCGATGATCTAAATTTGATAGATCTTCCATTCGGCGTTCTTTAACGATCACTTAAGAATCTCAGTGGGCTCACTTATGAGAATTACGACGTTAAAAATAGCTGATATTCTTATTTTGCCAACCTTGAGATATTTCGGTAATAAAGATACCTGCCTAACGGCAAACACGTGGTGAGAATTCAGATTCGTTGACGAAATTCTTCGCACTTGAAATCAACAAGAAACGCGATGAGAGTAATGAATTTTCCAGTCGTGATCGAAAGGTTTTGCATTTTACTCTCTGTTTTCATCGAAAATTGAGTTGTATCAAATTAAATTGTACTGAGTTGAATAAAGCTAAATATTTTATTATTTGATAGAAATAATCTAATACATCGAAATATAAAGCCCGAACTCGATTATTGCGAAAATCAATATGCTCGGCTTTACCGTGAATCCTCGTTATACTTTGTAACAGAGAAAAATAAGTGACTGTATCGCTAACAACCGAGGTGATCCGGTACGCGATTAAAAAAGTCCCTCATATCGAGCATTTCAGGTTACGAGCGGCTATTCTCCATCTGTTTTTCGTAAACAAACAAAAAGCCGCCGACGGGTTTGGAAGCGAACGGAGTTCCGGGCAGAAGCAAGGCGATCTTTGCATCGCTGCGTTTTCGGCTTGTTATTAACCTCCTTTCACTTAATCGTCGATAACGACGACTGTGTCAGCGTCACTCGTAAATCCGGTGTGTCGATGTGTCGTTGTCGGTGATGTAGCCGGTAGTGAATGAATGTGTAAACTATTTCGCAAGACTAGGCGTTTAGTCTTGACTGAATTCCCTTCAAGGCATACGCGTGTTCTACATTAAACCTTTCGCCCCCTCGCGGCTATTTCCGTCATAATAAAAAATGTTTCTAAATTTGTAACACACACAAGAAGAAGCGATAGCTTTCATATCACTCGAAATTTCTTCGAAGTACACGCGCGAAAAAAGTAGTTTTTACAGTTACGTCTCACTTTGCGGAAGAATCTCCCGATGTGTTCGACACTTTGGGTACGGCAAATATTTGTCACGTATAATCTTTCAGAAATTTGTACTATCTAGTTACATATTGACATGTACAAAAATTCCGCTATTGTCGCGGAATGAAAGAATATTTCGCGGGAGATACAAGTTACTCTATTAATAACGAGCTCACAAAAGCAATGAGCACAATGGGTGACTGTAGTCGACGCTCGTATCGAAAAGATTAAATTTCTCTTTTAGCAAACGCAGCCACACGGGACGTAACGAAAGGGCTGTATCGAGTAATGGTGATCGTATCGATACGATAGCGTTTGTTCCGCGCAATTTGCGTTCGCTGACCGATCCGTATAGCGCGCGCGCGCGTACGATTGTTAATTCCGCGCTACAAATGATAAGAACGGACGAAATGAAACGCGGGAACGCGGTGGCATCGCGCTCCGCTGCATATGTGCGAGAACACATCGAATAGCGCTTTTGTACGTAATTTTGCGCGACGACGACGATGCGGAGAGCGAGTCGTAACGAATCGCGACTTATCGAGCTTGGCGTGACGGCAGATTAAATAAATCCACGCTAATTAGTGACGCCTCGAGCGGACGCCTTTGGACGCTCAACGAGCACGGTATTCCGCGACGTGTCCCGCTGCGTACCGCTGCGCGGAAACCCCCGTAAGAAAGTACATAAATCCACCGATTAGATACGCCGCGACGGACACTTTCGGCGCCTTTAATCGCCGATGCGATTACGGCCCATGATAAACATCGCGGATGCTAGGGAATCGCGCGCTTCAATCGAGGTCGTGGAGTATCGCGCCATGTGGAAAATCTCTCTCCCCCCTCTCTACTCTCCTTGGTGCGCTCCTTTAACCGGCAATATCCTCGCGTTACGAAAATTCGAAAGGACTAACGACGTTCCCGAGCGATTTAATTAGACGTGTCGCAAGATCCGCGCGAGATACCACCGCTCTCTATTTCGTAGCGGCCGAAAGTGCAACGCGCGCCAAACGCTCTCGTTCGTCAGGCTCGAAGGCGCGAAAAATTGGAGCGGAGGGACATTGACGCGACCGCTCCCGGGGACGTTAATCGATGGCAACGATAAATGGGTAGATCAGAGCCGGGAGTGCGCGATTAACTGTGCGCGATCTATTATTTATCCTTGGGGCGCGCGCGCGCGACACAAACGCCGATACGCCAATCTCTATTTAATAGCGAGCGTCGAGCGTCGAACTCGCGCGTTCTCGCGCGCCCAAGCACGTATAACCGTCGTAATAGCTTACATCTCGGCTAACATTATCGAATCCGCAATTGACGGGGGGCGGGGGGGGGGGATCTCGCAAGGCGTTCTCGAGACATTACATGTCCAGCGTACGTGACGATGTCGCGAAGCCGCGGCCGCCGGTCGGGCCTTCTAGGAAAATCCTAGGTCGTGGTCGAGCGAGCCTGATCCTGAGACTCGCCATCATCGCCTAAGTCCGCACGGTGGGGCAGGGGGGGAAGAAGGAAGAGAGGCTAGATGAGGGGGGAAACATCGCGTCGGGCAGAAGGCCCGAGGTGGTCAGGAAGGGAGGAGGTTAGATGGAGCGAGGTGCAAAAGGTGAAAAACAGTTTGCCATCAGCATAACCGGTTTCACGTATCTCTGAACGGGTCTCTCCTTCCCTCCCTCACTCTCCCTCTCTCTCTCTCTCTCTCTCTCTCTCTCTCTCTCTCCCTCACTCTCTCTCTCTCTCTCTCTCTCTCTCTCTCTTTCTTTTTCTCTCTTTCGCTCTGCCGAGACTTGCACGATCCAGCCAACGGGGTTTCGCTCGACAGGGTCGCTCGCTTTCCTGATGATAGTCGAGTACCGGCTACTGGTGGCGGTGTCCTTATACAGTTAAGGACATTATCTCTCGTCTTCTGGCCCAAATTCCGCGGGAGATCATATCACGGATTGTTTTCGCATTTCGTCTCGCTCGTGGATCACGTCCCGAGCCGAGCGACGAGGACCATTCGTTCCGCTGCATCTGCTCGAGACTGATGACTCTTCGCGTTAAGAGACCCGCAAAACCCAATGCCGTGACGGCAATTTGGCGAATGAGACGCGAATAAATTCGCGAAATTCTATTTAGACCGCGTCCAAGATCCAAGATCGCCTCGAACGCCTCGAAATGGTGGTCTCTTCAGATAATTCGCGCGATTGATTTCTTGATTTCTCAACTTAGCTGATTTAGCTGATTCGACAGCGGCGAACGGTCGGCACCGAAATTCCCCAAAACCGTTTTTCATAATTGAAATCTTAATAACTTCCTTTTGCGAATCAATGACACTGATCACCGCTGATATTTAACGTCCGTGTTACGTAAGCTCACGTATCGACAGCTCGCGGAACCTTTTGTTGCAGACTCGGTGCTCACGTCGGGGACGTGCTTGAAAGTGACGAGCGCAGTAGTCAGCGGCGGCGATCACGTCGCGTTTACCGGGTGAACAGCGCGGGGACAGCAGCGATGGTACACAGTTGCTCGTCGAGGTGCGCCAAGCGCGCCTTCGTCTTCCTGTTTGCCTGGGGCCTGCTGATGATCGCGGCGGTGCAGTTTCGCCACCTGGAGAACAGGGCGCTGCGCGACGGTGCGCCAACAGCCGAGGAGAGCGTCGGCAACCTGGCGGAGGTCGGCGATGGCAGTAGTACCGGCAACGAGCGCGGTACGCGCCGCTCCTCGAGCCTGAGCCTGTCCCGCTATCTGCTGCAAAGAACACTCGGCGAATCCGGTGGTCCCGCCAATTCCGCGGGCAACGGCGCTCTCTTGACCACCCTGACCACGATCAGGAACCGTCTGGAGGCGACCAAGAGTCCGCTCGAGCTCGAGCCGCTGTTGGACAAAAGACCAGCCAAGACTGAGCAGCAGTTGATCGAAGAGATCGCCGAGAGGATACCCAGCCTGCCATTGAGCGACTGGACCAGGAATAATAGACTGAACCAGAAGAAAGGCAACGACAGCTGCTCGCGGTACCCGCAGATCTACGATCTCGAGTTCAATAATATCTACTGGCAGACGCTGCGCACCAGCAACGGCACGTTCCAGTTCTTCGGGGCGTTCTATGACAATCGGCGGCTGTCGAAGATCGGGCCAGCGGTGAGAATCGTCGGGATGATCGATCGAATCGAGCCAACTGTGAAGACGTACTGTCAATTGTGGTACGAAGGAGAGCGAGAGCCCAGGATCGTCGAGACACTCGAGTACAAGTACATCTGGTACGCCAAGTGGGGTAACTACAAGCAGGGTATCTATCAACCGTACGTGATAGCGTGCAAGGTGCCACCTCACCTGTCGAGCAAGCCGCCCTCGTCCGTCTCGATGGTCGAGAAGCGTTGCGACACGGCTAGTAATAATCTGCGGGTGATCTACAACAGGCCCGAGCGAAAGAAGGGCTTTGCGGTGTGCGTGAAAGGTCTGGACTTTCTGCACGAGGACCTGTCGGTCCGGCTGGTCGAGTGGATCGAGCTGATCAGCCTGTTGGGTGCCGACAAGATCTACTTCTACGAGCTGCAGGTGCACCCGAACGTGACCAAGGTGCTGCAGCATTATCAGCGCTTGGGTATGGTACACGTGACCCCGTTGACCTTGCCAGGCGGCCAGCCGAACGTGCCGGCCTTCCAGCACATGTACCTCACGAAGAAGACCAACCACAAGCGGCAGAACGAGCTGATACCGTACAATGACTGTCTGTACAAGCACATGTACGAGTACGAGTACATCGCGCTGTTGGACGTCGACGAGGTGATCATGCCGGTGAACGACGCGACTTGGCAGGGTCTGATGCGCCGAGTGCTGCCGAAGGCACTGAAAATACGGAACGAGACTCGCGCCTCGTACAACGTCAGGAACGTCTACTTCCTCGACGACCTACTGCACTCTCATGGTTACTTCAAGGACATACCCAAGTGAGTAAGACTTCTACTTTCACGCCACTCGCGGCATTCGGATCGGCCGTTAATCGGCCGTCCGTGAAGGGAACGCTGAAGGTGGATAGCTTGCGGAACCCGCCGACCGATCGGCGGTGTCACGGTTCCCTTCCGACGGATACCGGGAGATTGTGATTACGGGCGCGGGATGGGAAACGTGATAAACGTTGGATGAATTTGCTCTCCGCGGTAATAAACACACGTGTTTGCGCTCATTCTATTTCACGTGCACATTGGCCGCTGCTTTATCTCGCGGTGTTCCTTCTTTCATGTTTATCGCTCCAAGTCGGCAATGAATTTGAAACATCGAAAAGGCATTTTTCTCCTATCTCTGAATTGATATCGATCGATGGTGTATTAATCTATGAACGTTTTGTACAAATCATTCGCGTTTTATCATTTCGTTTCGTGAAATCAGACACAATTAAATCTGAAAATAGAAAAAATTTGAGAAAACTTGCAAGATTTTGCTAAAGGTAAGTTGCCTATAAGTATATATATATATATATATATATATATATGATATATAGTTATTTAATATTCATTAACTATATTTTATTTGGACAAATATTTCATTGTTATTTATTTTTACCGAATATTACGGAGACCGCTAAGACGTCGTTTGATTTCTGGAGTTTCAAGAATTGTCGCCATCAAACTTTCGCCCCGAGAGAACTAACAAAACTTGGAATTTGTCGCGACGTTTATTATCAGAAGAAAGTCACGTTCCGGCGCATATCCTAGTCATATCAGTTTGGCCGGCTGTCGATCCGCGTTCCTCATTCGAGCGTCACCTCGCAGGTACATGCACATGCTGCAGCACGTGTATCGTTCGAAGAACTTCACGAAGCCGAACCAGTACATCAAGTGCTTCCACAATCCGGAGCGGGTGGTTACCCTGCACAATCACTTCCCGTTGGCATGTTTGGGCGCCGGTTGCACCAGCTACCCCATCGAGACGGAGGACGCGCAGCTGCAGCATTACCGTGCCGATTGCGTCAAGTCGCTGAAGAAGACGTGCGAGCAGTACCGGGGGAACAGCGTGGTGGACACGACGATATGGCGCTACAAGGACAAACTAATCGATAGGGTCACCAATGCGTTGAAGACACTCGGCTTCTTCGGCCCGAGATAGCGACGAAGTTAATCCCTCCTCCACCACCTCCTTGTTCGTTTTAGCCGATCGATTCTCAAGCAGTTTGGACCCACGAGCTCACGAGACTCCATCAGCGGCGGGTGATTGCTTGAGATATTCGATCGGAGATTTAATCGGGGAGACACACTCGAGGCATATAGGTACAAATGGTAAACGGGATCCCAACGACGAAGCGTTGGATATTGCGATCTTGATCGTTGAGAGTACGAGAAGAGGCGTCGCCTTACAGTCGATGTTAACGAGATGCGCGGTAAGATGGTAGATGTCGGATCGCTCGCGCGATTAATAAAATCGGCGAATTACTGGCTTAATGAGCGCGGATAAAATAACAGGAAGAAACACCGCGAAGGTCATCCCGCCGCTTGTTCCTGTCTTTTTTTGTGTCAGCGCGCTCGACTCCGTCGTGACTATCGAGCAACTTTTGGCGGATGGAAGCCGAGGCGATAAAAGAAGCAAGAATGAAGATAAAAGCAAAAACACGTTAACGAGAATACACTTGAAATTGCGGCTCACTGAACTTCCACAAGTTCTCGAGTTCTCACTCGAGTCTCTCTTCGTATTACGTGAATGCGCGGCGTAGCTCCCGCTCTGAAGTTAATAAGCTTCCTGGACAAAGAAGAAGAGCTAATCGAGCGGCTATCTACATCCCGGCGGATTGCAGCCGAATAAAGTCGCGAGCGATTTACGTTTTGCGCGGGAAACCATTACGGCCGATTTATGCGGCACCGATTAACACGGTAGTTTTCGCGCAACCGTTAACCCGCGAAACGGCAATTATCTCTAGGCCAGACGTAATTGCAGTTCGATTTATATCGACAACGAGTCACAAATTTTCGCCGATACGCACAACAAGCTAATCGCGCCGTAGCCGGATTATGGTCCGCGGGGAAGAGCCTGCAGTATTTTGTTTTTTTCCTCCTGTAAATAATTTTTCCCGAGTCTTGTGTGTATGCTCAATATAAATAGGATTTACGAGTCAGCGATTGATCAATAGAGCCATCGCCCATAGCTGTGACACGGCGAGCAAGTGACAACGGATCGCGGTAAACGTATTGCGGTTGCCTGATGGATGACGAAGCTTGATAAAAAACCGAGGTGACGGTTGAATTTTTCTTTCTTTTAAACGAAGGTTACGAAGAAATTTTATCAAAACTCGCAGGAAACAAATGCGAGGACGAAAGAATTTTGCATTTAGTTACGTTGAGACACGAAAATATATTTATGTGTATACGATAAAAAGATATATATAAAACTGCGCCTTTTTCACGTGACTGTCGGAGAATATTTGGTTGAAAATGATTGTTGAGAGAAGCGTTGCCATACCGTTCCGACGACTGAAGCGCTGTGTGTTTAGGATACAAATACCGTTATTAATTAAGACTACTCTTAATGAAAACTCCGCGCGGTCGCAAGGCGGTCTGCATCAGTGGTAGATTTTTAGAACGGAAACCGGAACTGTCCAAATTATCTGTCTGAGCGTTATCGTTGCGCGATAAGCGAGAAAAGTTAGAATCGTACGAAAGTAGTAAGTTTTACAACTGCTATTATCAATTATGTACACATTTTGTTTCACACATTTCACATTACTTGAAATGTATTTCTTTTATAGTTTTTAACTTCTTTTTACAGCTTTACAGCTTTTTACAGCTTTAAGGACACAATAATGTTTTCTAAATCTTATTATATTCTGACGTACCCCCCTCCTCGCGCAACATGTCATTTTCATTGACTAATTATTTTGATATATTGTCGTTGTTCGTTTATTTTCCTTTCTGTTTCGTCAAGTTTGATGAGCCGTCTTGCGACTTTGGAGAACTTCCTCTCCTTATGGTGAACCTCGATCGCTTTCTGCACGACGATGATCGACTGCTTTTTAAGACTCGATTAGAGCGTCGTTTTTAAAAGTGAGAAGGCGATTCACGTTACACCATGAGGCATGCATTGATATATAACGGGGACCATTATAAGATAAGAGTTGATTATCAACGTTGCGTAACGTTGTTGATTTGAAGTGAGAAGATAAAATCACTGCGCCCCTTGGATGCGGAGGCGCGTGGGTTATCTTTCAAACGGAAACACCGGCGGACAGATAAAATGGCGCCTTTGTTTTTAGTTGATGTATATTCAGATATTTAGCGTTAAATGTGATCCTTACTCGTGCCTTTCGCTACTATTTATACAGTATGGATTTTTTCAAATTTGGCAAGCAAGACAAAGAAAATTCGACTGAATATCTTGCGTGAGCCAATATTCGTGCGTTGTTTCACAAGACGAAACGCGTTTTCAGTCAATATAACGATCTTCTGGTAACAAACGGGAGAGCGTGAAAGCGTTTCGTTTCTTTGTACATATCATTAAACTTCTACCTAACTATTATCTTTAAACTCTGTTTCAAAGATAATAAACGACTACACCAGAAAAAGGTTATAAATCTGCTTTTGTTGTATCCTGTACAATATGATTCACTTGTGACCGCAAAGGATTTTCCATGCTGTGTGCGTCATCGTGCATTATAGTAAGTACACTATCATTCGAAACAATCGAAGGTTCAGAGTCGTGAAAATACAACGCTGGATAATCCAAAGATGCCGGAACTTGAGAAAGACAGCCGAATCGAGATTTTGATTTAACATTAATCTTGCAAATTTTTATCCAACTTGGTGGACTGCGTATATACGTATAATGGAGCATTACAAAATATAACATTTTACTAGTTATTCTTCAAATATCTGAAGTTGTAAGATAAAGAATCATATCAAAATGAATAACTACCGATAATCCAATAATGTGGTCAAGGCCAACATTGGTCTCGGACTCGCTGAGAGAGAGAGAGAGAGAGAGAGAGAGAGAGAGAGAGAGAGAGAGAGAGAGATTTTCGCGATCGGGCGCGTATGAGAGGGCCGCCCCTTTGACTTTCGGCACTCTTCACTCAGAGATTGCTTATCACTCATGTCAATAACACATAATTCTAGGATGTGTTAGCGTTGCGCCGATCTCGGCGCAATCGGCGTTAGTGTTATTCGAAGCGCCCGTCAACTTATCGGGCGCGTGTCCAAATTGTCGGGTGTTATCAGCGCGATGAGTCGGCATGCTGCTCGACATGCGTCGAGATAATCGATGGCGATTGCAATATAAGCGTCCATCAAGCAGACGGTACGTTTCCTCCGATGACGCACGACGCCAAGTAGAACGTGAAACGCATTGCTGACAGCTTCCTAAGTACGATCAGCAGGCCGCGTTTGCCTCGCTTGTGCGCGGGTCTTCAGCAACATACTTCCGATACTTTTTGGTATATGTGATATTATTCTAGCAGGGAGCAGGAGATCGATCTCGCATGCACATGTTTTTAATTTCATGTGGCAGGTCTAGCTTAAATCGTATTTTTTAATCGAGCAGATGTCGCACGCTACACATCGAACGACAGACAGAGTTCTTTGAACTACAATTTTCGATTTCAGGAAATATCACATCAATTTATCGAATGTATTTGTTTTTTGATAATTTGCATTGAAAACGGAGAAATTATAGTCTCACCATTTATCAGTTGTTTGTTCGAATTACATCATAACTTTTTATTTTGAATAAGGAAATTACAATCTCTACTTTTTATTAAAATAGCTCTGTTTGAGGGGAATTTCGATCGCTCTCGAAATTTTGCGTGCGTATTCATCGTATATTAGAAAAAAAAATATCGTAGATAAAAAAATATCTGCACTTGAAAAAGAAGTCAAGAGAGAATTAATTGTCGTTTGTTGTCGATAAAAATATAATAATATTGTGTCGAGTCTCCTTTATTTATATTTACCGCGATAGCAACGTCCTGGCGCACTGTGTGTGACGATCGCGCGACGATCTTGCCGACCGACAATATTACAGCACAGAGCTAGAATTCGCCAATAAATTATAGACATCGATAAACCAGGTGGCGAAAGATAACCGAGGAATAGCCTTCCGAAGGTACACGGCCTCGTTTTATTTTGCCATTACGAACGGGCAGTTGAATGCGATACGAAATCTTCATCGCACACGCAGATTTAACTCCGATATTTCATCGTTCCGCTCGGACGCCGGGCTATTTTCATTCGTTTTCATCGCTCTTCGCTCGACGAAAAATCTAGATCCTCGAGGCGAAACTCCGCTCCGGCGTTTTCCTTGGATTTTCCAACGGCGCGTTTATCTCGAGGCATCTCGCGTTTCCGACAATTCGCGATGGCGAGCTTTTTCTCTCGCGCGAGTCGCCGAAAAATCCCGCTAGCGCGCGCCCGCGCGTCTCATCGACCCCGCTTCTCTCTCTGTAAATAACCGCCACTAAAAATAAAGCGCCCGTCCGTTGCCGACTTTGCGGAGAATCGGGCCCGCGCGCACGCGGCACCGCTGTCGCTCTGTCGTCCGAAACCGTCGCCACGAGCGAATTTACATGATCGACGACCTCATGTTTATTCATGTAACTCCGCATGGTCCAATTAATATACGCCGCCGCGATAATTACTGCCGCCGGACGTATACTCGTCCCGGCGCGATCACGCACATTTACACGGCGGCGCCGCGTTATATTCATCGACGACGTCCCGGTGTGTCGTTCTCTCGAGATATCGAGATATACAGTTCGCAAGTGCCGTGAGAATGTAAAATTTCCGCGCGGGAAATCCGCGGGGACGATTAAACGCGCGAAAAGCGCGTTCATTCCAACATCTGGTAATTCGATAGTTTTTCGAATATTCGGGTTATTCAATAGTTGGATAATTCGCGAAGGTGAGATCTCCGGGGAGATTAGCGGAGGTAGCATGGAGCGAATCATAAGAGCGTTGCTGGAATCGATCGCGAGTACGCTCCCGAGACCGACCGATCTTGGCCGCGAAACACCACCTTCCACCACCGTGGTCGTCACGGTCGTCTGGTGGCTGTCGTTCATCTCATTTGCGCAAATAGTCTGGAATTTGCAAATAATTACGACGCAACACCGCGCAGCGAGCCTCTCTGTGCCTTCGCTACCGTTATTTGCTAGCGGGAGCAAAGCCTATTGTATATAAATTTACATGAATGCACAAGCGCTCAGCGCAATCTCATCCCTGCGTACGTAACAGCCGCAGCGTAATTTCCGCAGCGACAATAGATAAGCGACTTGCGAAAATTCCACGCGTACGTACGCACGCATGTGTTCCCGCGCGTTAATTTCCGAGAGCGATAATCTCGAAGCTATCGATAGCTAGCGAGAGAATTTAAACGCGGCGCGCCGCGTTGTCTCCGCTCGTAGATGGAACTTGCGCGCGTATACTTTGCCTTCTCCTCTCTCTCTCTCTCTCTCTTCCTCCTGTTTGCTCTCGCTCTCTCTCTCTCTCTCTCTCTCTCTCTCTCTCTCTCTCTCTCTCTCTCTCTCTCTCTCTTTCCTCTCTCTCTCTCGCTCGCTCGCTCGCTCGCTCGCTCTCTCTCTCTCTCTCTCTCTCTCTCTCTCTCTCTCTCTCTCTCTCACGCACGCTCTTCTCGCTTTCCGAACTCGAAATCTCGACGCTGGGATAAATTTGGAACGACCGCCTCTAGTGGATGTAACTCACAGCCGTGCGTTCCATCCACGTTTCTGCCTTAGTTTCGTGTCGAGGATCACGCGGGGATCACGCTCGACGAGAGCGTCGTTGATGGCGAGATCCGAAAGTCACGGATAGTTGTTCGCGAGTGTGAACGCGAGATTCGCGCGATTCTGAGGGGTCCGTCGAGCCTTTGAGGGATTATCGAGAGGAATCCGAAGAATCCGACCAACGCCAGCGGCGAATCTCAATCGGAATTCATTTCCGCGCGGATGTCGGCTGCGCTCTCCGATCTGGCTTCGAGCACGCACCGCCGCGCCGTCTCGAAACAGTCGTCGTTTGTGCGTTGTTGATGTTGAATTTCTCGCAGTTCCGGAGTCACCAGTAACTCACTTTTGTCTCTCTTCCTTTCTTCTCGCGTTTTCTGGCAATTGGATTCCAGTATTTGTGGAATATATCTTACGGTCAAGTTTAAATTCGATATTCACGCACATAGTTAATAATAACCTGTGCGTTTCAACGTTTCCAACTGTACAAACCGACAGGGTTATCAACCCTTCCTGCTTTCCCGACAAAATCGATATTTGCCGATTTTGCCGTTGAAAGTTATTTCTCACTCGACTTGTGATATAATTGTGTGTCAAGACCTCCTCGCGCACGAGAAACACGCGCGCGTGAGATTCCCGCGGCGTCATTCTCTATTCTCATTTCGCCGATGTTTCCTCTATGAGTGGATGTTGGATTGTTGGATGATGACTTTTGCATCAGGAATAACTGACAGCCTCGAAAATCGTCGAACTTTGGTGACCTCGAAGCCGTTGCTCCTCGCTTTTACAGATCGACCACCATTTCGATAAATAACACAGCGTGCTGTGCTTACGCGAAAGAAATCCCCGAGGTGCAATTCTGTTCTTTCCGTATCCAGTTCGTGGAGTAATTTGTAGCTGCGTTCCGATATAATGAATTTGCCGATAAAGCGAAGCGAACGGACGAGCGTCAATGATAACGTGCATTATCGTGCACGGCACGACAAAGCGGAGCTCGGTGGTGCCGATTCAATATCGATTGACGCCGACGGCTACTGGCAAAGTGGATAAACACCGGCGAAAACGTATCGTATTAAGTCGAATCGTCCGTGAAAACGAAGGCGAGCGATTCGAGTGAATACGAGAAAACAGACTGCTCGATCAGCGATAGTATCGATCCTGTCTCGCGGCGACGAGAGATCGCATACTGTTGCAATTTATCTGCAAATCGCTTTATTCAGAGATGCGCGGAAACATTGGTGATATTGGCTTCATTGTAACATTACTTTGCTGCTTTGCCTTTGTTAACGATCGCGTTAATGACTTTATGATTTCGTGTAACATGTTTTCTACGTGGCGCGATTGATAGGATTCGGAAATTTTATGTTTAAGAGACCCGTGAAATATTACAAAAACACGTGAGATAAAAGTCAAATATCTTTGTATATAGTTTTTTTTTTATTTAATCGTTTGTGATATATTGTTGCGTGACGTAACGATCCGATACCACAGTCGTGGCACGTACGCAGGTTTTTCATTTACGGCATAGCTATTCAATATTACGTTGTGACTGATATGAATTCACCGATAGATGGACAAATTATTCAAGTTCTCCAATTTGATGGTGAACCTTTTCATACATCGTAAAGTCGCGATGGACATTAACTTGCCACATACTGGCTCGCTACTCGCGATAAATCTCACAGATTTCACTTATCTGAATCTATTGATATTTAATACGTACGATTCCTGTCTCGCGAATATTCGTATCTATACAGATGTGGTTTCCAAAAAAAAATAATCGCTTTTATAAATCCTCAGTTTTTGGGAGCGCTCTCGCGGTCGTACAGACGAATGCTCGGATCTATATATTTTTAGTGGTTTTTATCAATTTTATGTTTCATACACATTCCCACGTCCACATATTTTCGTGGAACCACAAATCCTTCGTTCTCCAAATCCCGAAATAAATCAATTAATCCCTGCAATTTCGCTTCACAAAGTTTATCGCATAAAGAGATTTTCGATCGAAATATTGAATTCGACAGTTCCACGTCAAAACAAGTTAATTGGACAGAATTATGGCGCAGGAAATCTAATTATCAGCAATCGAAGCTAACTGACGAGGCTGAAGCGCGGTATATCGCGCTCGTTGCGTAGATGAGAGAATGTAATAAGAGGACAGCCGCGATTTCTGTGAAGGAGAAAAGTAGAGAATGCCGCGTACGCGAACGGAGTTGTTCGACCCGATGGAAGTGGAGAAACCGTCGAGATGCATCAGATTCCTCCGGCTGCTGTGGAAATTCAGCAGATGCGTATTCTCCCACGTGACGCTCATCTCCTTGGTTGTTGCTTATTGTGTAATCGGCGGGTACGCCTTCGAATTACTCGAGGCGAAGCACGAGATACAGGTAAATCGCGAACGATGCGAAATTTCGTTGGCCCTTAATTCATTTGTGCCCCATTAATACCTCATTGAATTGTCTGGAAATTTCATCTCGACGAACTTTGAAAGCCATTCGATCTCGATGAATTATCTGTTGGATTTCAATCCGTTCAATCTTTTCCGTGAGAAATTTTGCAGCAATCGCGTGATCGTTGTGCTGTACGCGATAATTCTTTTCGTTTTTAGAAATATTCGACGAATCAGACATTCTCATGTCAGGCATGAATTTATCTTTGAATTCAATTTTATATCTAACGTTTCATCTCTCCCGGAGTGTCACAGAGTATGAATCTATCTGTCCGCATTGTGTTTACCCCGCTACGTTACCGATAAGTTAATATCTCTCGTGTACACCATACGCATATTCCGCCATTCGTATTCCGCAAACTAACATGAAATTTGCTCCGAACAGAAATTAATTCGGCCCCGAGAGCAAAAAGGGTGCGGACAAATAGTTTCACCCGCATCGAATATTCCGCGCTCGTGCCGGTGCTCGTGAATTATTGGCTGGCGCCGAGCGACGCGACATCGAGTAAATGCATCGTTACATTTTTCGCAGGTGAAGTTGAGCATCAAGGATATACGGGGTAACGTCTCGGAGAAACTATGGGAAATCACGAAGGATTTCGACGTGTTGATTCGCGAAAACTGGACGGACCGAGCGTTGAGCCAGTTGAAGGTATGAACTTTGTGTTTCTCTTGCTCTTTCTCTTTCTCTCTCTCTCTCTGAGTCTCATCAACTAGATTTCCGTAGAATGCAACCCCTCCGGGTCGTATTTACAGGCCGCGTTTGATAGCGATGAGAACACGCGAAATGCAAAATGTCCCTTTCTCGTTTTAAATCTGACTCAATCTGAGAGCACGCTATTTGTTCGTGCGATAATACGCAATGCAGCAGTTCGAGGAGGAACTCTTGAAGAAAATGACGAAGGAAGGATGGGACGGCAGCGAGGAGGTGAATAATATTCAATGGACGTTCGCTGGCGCTCTATTCTACTCTATCATCGTCATCACGACGATCGGTGAGTCGATGCCGGAGGCATCGTCAAAGTAATACACAGAGAACGCGCGAAGATACTAATAACGCAAACTCACGAGAAATTTTATTTATTACATGAAACGGTACGCGCGCGCGCGTGTATGTGTGAAAGAAATCAATTGTTCGCTAAGCATTATTCATTTGTTTCTTGCTTCGTTCGCATTTATTTAACGGGATGACTTATTATCTTTTGCTTTTTTGAGAAACAAGGCAAAAGAGTGAATATGTAGAAAGTGGTGTACAATCGATCGAAATTATAGAAATATTCGTAAGAGAAACGTGTTTTACATTACATACATTATATACGTCTCAACGTTATCTTTGCTATAATTTATTATCGCGAGGCGCCGTTAGGTAAGGTTACATCTCCTTCTCAAGGAAGAACAACGTGCGCATTTTACAAATTCATGCTTGAGACGAAGCATCGGTATTATTTCATTCGAATTAATTATTGACGCGATTACAGTTCGTGTTCGAGTCGTGTCTCATCTAATTGTACATCGCGTACGATCACTCGACGTACATGTACGTGTACGTGTACATCTATATATTCCTGTGGTATCTTTGGCATCTCCACCGAGACCGAAACGACCGCTCGAGCTTAACGGCAGATCGAGAAACGATTCGATCGAGACGAGATTTTTTTATTTACAGTCATTTCTCCTCGTCCGTCCTCGGATTCTCGCTCGCTTGCGTTTGATTCTTACCCAACGACCTCCCGTAGATCTCATAATCGTCGGGATCCGCGTCGTAGCCATATGGCCGTAACGACTCGAACTCATTACGGTGACCGTAACTGCCATCGTAGGGCCTCGAGTAATAGTCACCGAAAGACGGATGTCGGTAGCCACCATATGGATTACCGTACGGTCCTCGATTGCCGTAATAATTCGTCGTCGGCCCGTACTTGTGCGGTGCGCCCTGAAAATTATTGTTTGCTCAGTAGGAGGTACATGAGAGAAACGCCAACGAAAAATATATATCGTATCGCGTAAGAGAGAACGGAGATCCGAGAAAATCTTTAATATATATTATCTGAATAGATTCGCTAAGCACAGGCAAATTAAATATTCGTCATCAATTAAACATTAATTATTATAAATTAAATATTTATATATCGCAGCAGAATATCAACTTTAATTTGCTCTCGAAATATTTCTCCTTGAGGAATTTTGCAATATTCTATTTAAAAATGTTTTCTTCCTCTCTCTCTCTCTCTCTCTCTCTCTCTCTCTCTCGTTATTTTGCGCTCCTGTGAAATTTCTGAAAATACATATTAATGTTCGCGTATAAAGTTTTGCATTATAAGAACATATTTTCTGTTACGGGATAATATGGGTGATGACTTCCTAACAATCCTGGAAATTTTCTGCTGTTGAAGCAGCAGTACTTCTTATCCCTCGAGCAGTGACCCTGAAATATCACGAGGATGCGTTAAAATCGTCGGCGGTTTCGGTACGCCTCGCGTGCTCGCGACGAACTCTCGATTGTGTAAACGTACGAATTTCAAGCCGGGCGACGGGCAATTGAAGCTGTATCTACACTTGCAAGTATCGAGATCGCGATAACGAGGATCCCCTCGGATCCATGGCGGCACCGAATCCAGGATACCGTCGTGTCCATTCGGTCCGTTGAGACGTGGCGGCCTGAAACGATAACATTAATGTATTTGAACATTTTGTCTGCCTCGCGAATATTAGTGATCACTGTCGAAGCAGCGCAACACATTGAAGGAGGAGAAAAATCTCATTAGAAAACAAAGGTTAATCGTAAAAGAGAAGAGAGAGAGAGAGAGAGAGAGAGAGAGAGAGACGCGCAACTGGAATATGATACGCGATACTTTTAGGAAAGATATATTTATAAGAGAAGTATAAACGGTAAACTTTTTCTTTTTTAGTAGGAAATTCGTATGCGAATCCGACTCGGTTTATGAGGAATATGTATACTATAGACCGATAAACTAGCGTGTGTCCAGCACGAGCGAACCGTTTCTCATAAAATATTGTGTATGACCCGGTGACGCCTCTCGCGCATAATTAAATGTGCAGAATATCTATAAATTAAGCGGCTTTCCTGTGAGGAGATAGCGCCATATATTTTAATCGGATCATTGGAAGTTTAATATATAATAACCCCCCGGCGAAACACGCCGCGTGTGGAAAATCCCACTTTTTCCGAGATCAATGAACCCGTTTGAAAAACGCGATTCGACACGGGCGCTGACCGATGAAAATCTAAAACGGTCGTCGAGGCGGCTCGCAATTTTTAAAGAGCGCCTCGGCAATTGCGGAAAGTGGGTCGATGCGGTTGAGTCGATTAACGATCACGTGCGCGGGGGAATACTCGTATATACAAATATTTCCCTCACGTCGCACTCTTTGCATACGTGAAAAAGTTTCAGTCGCTTCTTCGCATGTCGTCATCACACAGCTAATCGCGCGTGTTTAATGTCCCTCGTGTTTGCCGCGACTCGATCAGCACTCGGCTCTTCTTTTCTGCTCGTCTTTTTCGGCGTTTCATCAATATTATCAGAGACCGCTGCAAACGGAAACGGTTTACCTGCCGACTATTCCGGTTGGTCCTCCGGGACCAACGAGCACACCGTTGTTGCCTGGATACGACGGCACCAACGGCCGGCTGTTGGGACCGTAAGGGCCTGGATTTTGCGGTCTAAAGCCCGCCTCGTCCACGCCATCGAAATCAGGCTCGTATACTTGATACCTACAGATAGAGTCGTATATACATACGACGAAATGACGGAAATTATATCGCGAATTACATTCTATTCAGTTAGTTCACTGTCACATTAATTCAACCATTCCTTTCTCTCGGTGTGCGTATTTGTTTGGTTTCTAATCACGTACAATTATAAATACTTTCAACGTTACGTATCCGACAGATTGATCCGCGGACTGATTAATAGCGCACCTGGCCTCGGCAACTCCAGCCTTGCTCGTCTTCTGCTTATCGTCGTCGCCCCAGGACCAAGGTTTGTCGTTCTCACCGGACACCGTTGCGAGCGCAACGCAAAAGACGAAAAGGGCTGCTCGCATCTTTACTGTCGCGCGACAGATTCGAGATTCTCGGCGCGATGCGCGTCTCGGTCCGTCTCTTGCCCGAAAAGGAAGACGCGCGTTCGGGCGCGTATAATAGCCGAAGCCGACTAAACGAGAGTGAAAGTGAATCGTGCCTTTATATATGCATCGCGAGAAGGTGAACGCACCGCTACACTTCGAGGTCTTTTTGGACGATAATCATCCACGATCAATGGACTGTTTGACGCGCCGGCTATTCTTTGTTTGCCTTCACGCGAACCCTGAAAACGCGGCTGCAGAACCGAGAGCGAGAGAGAGAGAGAGAGAGAGAGATGCACATTTTCTAAAATAATTGTCCCACCGGCGAATCCCGAGTCGAGGGAACGCAAATAGCGGGTATCAGCGAGCCGCGAGTTTTCGTAGAGAAAAATGAGAAGAATCGGGACGGTGAAGAGATGCCATCTTTTTTCTTTTTCTTTAGACCATCTCATGATAGCTGTGATTTCGCTCGGTTTAGAGGCGTCATAAAGTATGCGCGTTATAAAGGAACGTCGTGTCCCTTCCTCCGAATGAATACTTTTCACTTCCACCTTCCCCCCTTCCCCCCCCTCCCTCCTCGTCTGGGCGTATTACTTCCATTTTTACGCGCGTAAAGTAATGTAGAGGGCATGAAGAAATGTTGAAAGCGTAAAAGCGACGAGTAATTTTGTCAGATCACATTAAAAAAACACACAAAAAAAGGATCAATTTCACCGGCGAAACGCGACGACAGCTTCTATAAAAGTTATTAACACACATGATGCATACGCAGATACGTCGGATTTACATGTGCATTCACGTCGAGATTACATTGCGCGCGCCCGTCGGTTTACAAGCGTAACGTTATTACGCGGTTACGTGGGTGGATCTAGTCGGGTCTTAAGGCCGGTTCCGCTCCTTCGAGCGCCCGTCCTTCGACCTGGGAAAACCCGGTTCTTCGACGAGGTAGGGAAGCAGGTTGACTGGCTGGCTGGCTGGCTGACGGCGCGGCGCGGCGCGCGCGCTCTTTTGACCTCCTTCTTAAAGCAAAATCAAGATACATGGCGCAACGTTAATTCCCGCGCGACTCGGTCCCGCTCCGCGGGAAATTACCGCCATTAGGGATTTTCAGCCTTCACTCTTGAAAAATACATCCTTCATTAAGCCACATTTGCCCGCCAATCTTCCTGAGAGCGAATCCGCGTCGTACGTCGCACGTAGCACGCGTTCCGCGTCGTGTTCGTCGCGTACGCGATTTATTATTCCGCAAAAATCAGCCGCGTTATCGCGGACGTTGAACGACGGATGACGAAACTGGCTCGTCGCTTGGCTCTCGCAATTTCGCCAGATATTTGCGATTAATAGAGAGGACAGAGGACAGAGAAACGCTTTTCGGCTGGAGCGGTCCCGCTCGATCGAACGCGGATCATGTAGGGTGATCGCGCGATGTTCAGTCACCGGACGAAAAATGAAACGGCAGCGAATAGAGACGGAACTAGACGGGGAACGTCGCGAAAATATCACGAATTTCTGTCGTACGCAGCTCGACTCGAATACATGGTCTGCCACCAGATTATCAAGGTAAGCCTGGACGGACGCGTCGGACGAGACGAACGCGAAATGCTTTTTATTCCGTGCTCGCTTTGAAATTCGTTTCTGGAATGACATCTTTTCATTATGAGATTAAACGGGAGATTAAGCGGGGGGGGGGGGGTTTAAGCAACGGAATTTTATCCGGCAGGCAAAGTGGCGCCGAATAAAACAACGAGCTGTCGCGCGCACCTTTCGCAGCGTAACAGCTCCGAACAAAAGCTGCAAACTGTCGCGGATACTTGGGGCTGTAATAATAAGGAAAAATCAAATTCGAACTGTCGCTAACCGGTCCCGCGGCCAACTCGCGAAACTTAATGGAAAGTTCAACTTGGTTAAGCGAGCTTCCTCCTGAGCGATCACGCCGCGAGATAAGTTCGACTTGATCGAGGAGGCTCAATGGCTGTCTGCTTCTTCGCGGAGAACGTCACTGCGTATTGCAACATAACCAGCCGTGCAAGGCAAATGCCCGATCGACATTCTCGGCGACGTGTCCAAGTGTCGCAATTTCGTCCAGACGGACGAACGACTCACACCCACAGCTTTTGGAAGAAGAAAGAGGAAAGAGAAGACGGAAGAGTTGAAAGAGGAGACGTCGGAGAGGATAAATACGACGAATTATTTGAAGCTCGACAGAAAATCATAACGAGAGAGAAGGAAATTCAGATTGCATAATTTATGTGGCTTCGAGGGGTGAATTGTCGGTGACCCGACAGAAAACTGAGAAAAAAACGAGGATCTCGTTACGAGCGATTTTTCAGTCGACCTCGCCTTTCCTCCTCTATTGGGCTTCCTTTAAGTAAGCGTCCGCGAAACAAAATCTAATCGAGTTTTGTAACCCTTCGGCGCGAATTGATGAAATCGGATCTGCGCCGCTTACTTCATCTTCTTCCCTCTCTCTCTCTCTCTCTCTCTCTCTCTCTCTAAGGCTGCAGGAAGCTTGTCGTTCGTATCCGCAAAAATTCATTTCGCGGATAGGCCGGAAGGGACGCCCTTTCGCCGCGCTTTTCAACTAATTTCCTGGGGCGTGTAATCTTTTTTAAGTAATTTCCTGCTGCCGTAAATACGATAAAAGAAGGACGACCCGTGCGGCGCTTTGGCCGTTTGTCCTTTTACCGCACTCGCCTATGTAACGGTTCCACCGCGGAAAAAAAAATATATATATATGATAACCGCGGTAAACCGAGCGGGGTCAACTTAATCGCGAAAAGCGTGATATTATTTTTACAAGTGCAAAGTGCGCGTCGAATTTTATTCGGACCAACTTTATCGCTTCCGATCTATCGGTGACAGATCTCAGACAAATGTCATCCTCCGTCAAACCGGTCAACCGGAAATGTTTGGAACGATGAGAATTTCTACGAGCAACATTATCTATTCCACGTTACTTTGATAAATCGTTCATGAAGAAAAGTATGAAAGTGCAACGAAAGCCGATTGAAATTTTAACGATAGTTTCTTTACGACGTAGTTCCGGCAACGACGTACTCCTCTAACGACGGAAATTTTTAATCTTCGATATTAAAGACCTTGGTAATAAAATTTTAATTGAAAGTCCTGTTACGCGCGGTAGAATCTAGTCGAAGTTAATCAAAGAGCAAGATTGTATTAGCGATTTATTCCTTTCAAGAGCTTGAAGAGCCTGAAAATCGTTTATAATTCTCCACTCTACGAAACTATCAGTACACACGCACATCGAAATAAGCATCATTTTTCTCATTCTTCATTTTCCGGCAATCAATCGATTATTAAAACACGCGGTTTCATCACGGCATTAATAATTTAACGGTTATCCTTATCGAATTCAACGTGCCGCGAGACGTGACGCTTACGTTCTCGCAGCACGTCAACTTCCAACAAGTCCACATCAAGCAGGAAATTGATGTTACACGTTCGAACGGGGGATGTCGATCCGTCTCTACCCTCGCGGTCTCGGATTTACTTCCGGTCCGTAACCGCGTGAAAAAATTAGCCCATCGATAAGATCGAAATTTCTCGGGTTCGAGGCGGCAGCCGAACGCGTGCGCTTATCCTTAGACGGGGGGCGAAAATTCATTTCTTCGACAGGCTCTCGCGTTCTCGCGACAGGCGACTTCTCCCTGTATTTTCTCCCTTTTCAAATAATTTCCTGCCATCGACTACGCGACCTAGTTCTCATCTCGCTCTCTCTTTCTCTTTTTCTCTTTCTCTCACTCGGTCTCTTCTAGTCGGAATAAAAGCGTTACAGCTCTCGTCCTCCAGCCCGCCTCCGCGCGTGCTATAGATTAAAAAAAGAGGAATAAAGGTGAGAGAGAGAGAGAGAGAGAGAGGAGAGAGAGAGAGAGAGATCTCGCAACGCGAATAGATCACGATGCCTTTTCGACATCTTGGAATATCCAGGAAATTCATGTATTCGCTATGAGAAAACCGGCTTTTTGCCTCATACGTTTCTCCCTTTTCTCAGTCTCTTTTTCCCCTCCCCTCCCCTCTCTCTCTCTCTCGTTCTCTGCCTTTCTCTCTCCACGTGCCCAGCCGCCTGCCTGTCTGCCTGCTTGCTTTCTTTCCTCCCTCCTGCAGGCTGCACATGCAGCTGCATAATGCATAGTGCCGCGCTACCGTGGTCTGAAATTTATACCGTATCCGAGGAAAATCCCTCTTCTGCGGTAGAAAAGGTTACGCGTTATAAACATCGACGACGTTTATGCGCTTAAACGAAATCGCTTAACGATACCTATCTACCTAAATACTTATCGTCCCGCCGTGCGAGCGAATATGCAGAGAAATACGGCGCTCTTCGACGCGTCGCGCGAGCGCGCACGAAAATCCTTTATCGCGCCGTGGTCTCTTCGCGAGTTCGATCACTCTAAAGACGATTCGGGTCACCCTTGTCGCTCGTTGCTCCGCGAGATCGCCGTAATAAGTGGCTTTTTCCGGGCGAATTTATGAAATTGGATCGCCGCCTCTCGCATCCGCTGCTGCGTATCACGAGTCGTCTCTCTCGAGCGCGGATAAATCCGCCCTTTCGATAGAGGCGAAAGGGACTTGTTATGGGTGCACTTTGACCCGTTTTCTCGCGTCAGGCAACTTCCTCCGACGAGTAACTTTGTGACATAAAAAAAAAGTATCGATTGGCTTGATCGCGTTTCGTCCTGGAAATGGCGTATTATTCGACTATCCTTGCGCGAAGGTCGTAAAGTAAATTCTCCTGGAATAGAGAGAAAGAGAGAGAGAGAGAGAGAGAGAGAGAGAGAGAGAGAGAGAGAAAGAGAAAAAGTGAGAGAGACGAAAAGGGAGAGGCCGGGATTTATTAAAATATTCAAATATTTGGGCGTTTTACTACGGCAATTCGAATGATATTTCTTGAGATTTGTATAATCGGGATTGTTCGAGTAATTTAAATTCAAGAAAGCGGACGATATTGACCTATTCTGGATAATTTATCGTTGCAAATTCGACTACGTTACTATTGAGCGAACGTATTTTTCCGAGCGCGGACCGCGTTTTCAAGTAGAAGAATATTAAATATTCTGATCTCAAATATTTCAATGTAGCACCGGGATTCTGATATTTGATACTTTTCATTATGAAATTTTTATTTTCATTTTTATTACACATTCTTCATAATTCACATTTCCCGAATTATTAGGATTCTTCATGATTGTTCTATTTTATTATATTCGACCGTTAATGATAAAGGAAAAAAATATATCTGAAACATATTCAGTGATCCGAGAGATTAGAGTTGCGCAAAGTCTCTATCGACAGGAAACACAGCGATTACATCGCAACGTAACGGGAGTATTGTGCAACCGCGTGATGTTCTTAGGCATTATTGAATTCAGAAATCTTGGCGACCTTGACCCAGACTCATACACGAAATTACGAGAGCGTCCAAGGCCTCGAAGAGGAGTTTCAAGGCCGCGACGAGAGCGGCTAAAGGCCCGAACGACCTCGTTGACTCGTTTCTTCTAATTCCAGACTTTAAGGTGGCGATTAAGCCCGGCTTCGAGTGCACGCGCTATTGTCGATCGAGTTCATTCACACAAAAGGGAGGGCGATTGTTTGCTCGCTATATTGTCAGATAGCGATTTTTCATTGTACGCCATTTTGTCTGCGTGCATAAATCTCCTGTTTGTATTTTTTTTTATTTAGCGAATCAAATATTCTCTGTGTATGAAGCAATAACTCAGAATTTGCGAGTTTTTCGGTGTTGTCGAGCATCGTGGAACACGACACGGAATATATCGTGGAATTGTGCAAAACTCGAAAAACATAGTAGCAAAAAATAAAAATAGCGACAAGATGGTGCAACAGCACAAATTCCCTGGGTGAATCTAATCCCTTCTTTGTTTTACGATTTTTTTAGGTTACGGCCACATCGCGCCGAAAACGAAGAACGGCAAAGTGGTGACTATATTTTACGCTATCTTAGGCATTCCGCTCATGTTGCTCTGCCTGTCGAATATCGGAGACGTGATGGCGTCGAGTTTTAGGTACGATCCTTCCCGCGAGCTTTAATCACGTTCGGCCGAATCTCGTGATGGATTTGGAGAATGAAAAAAATAAAAAAAGAAAAAAACGTAGGATCGCGGTTCGTACGTGCGCGCGCGCGCGCGCGCGCGTGCACGACGTTTAGTAGTTTAGTAGTTTCGTCGTTCGGGCTATAAAACGAAAGAGAGATAAATAAAATAGAATAAAATAATTTGTCTAAATTGGTGCGCGCTGTTTCCAGGTTTCTGTATTGGAAAGTGTGCTGCTACATATGTACAAAACCGCCGAAAAAACGACGAAGCCGTAATACCTTCGTCAGATCCTACTCCGTTCGTCAACCAGGGTAATCTCACGTGTGTAATGGAAAAATTACGAGAATGTTTAATCGTTGCGTAAAACTACGCATAACACGCGCAACAGACAATCAATGTCGAGAAAATGGATCCAAGTCAAATTCCACACAAAAGTCACACAAGTTCTAACGATCATTTCTAGACGCATTGCGTCGCGTCGCGAAAACGTTGTCTGTAATAAGACTCGAGTAAGAATACGCGCGTCTCTCGTCACGATTTCAATTAAACTGATTACACTTTCCGGGACGGACTTTACGTCGCGACTACAATTTTACCGATTTTACCGATGAGAATATCAATAACGACAGACATCTCGTCCGAATCTTAAATTATACGCGTATATCGTCACTTGGCCGCGCGAGATAGCAGATAGTAAAAAAGTGCGACAAAGTGCCGAGTCCGTCCCGAGAAGATAAACGAGATCATGTCGCCCTCCGCCGAGGCATCCTTGAACCCTCGGATTATTCGGGTGAATAGAACGGGTCTGTTGAGCCGACGAATTTAAAGTGCCGTACGCGATTGCATAGTGACACGGACGTTTGTACTTCACAAGGCGATATGGCTCGAGCAAAGGCGCGTTCCGCCGATCCATCAGAGTGAGTCAACGATCAGCGGACTCGGCCTTGGGGCTTTCCGAGAGTATGACCAAGTCCTCGTACTCCGACACCGATTGCAGGTGAGACGATATCCGCACTCTTGATTCGATTATCCGATTCAACAGGGGAAACGAATCGAGAGCTTTATCGCCGGGCGGATGCATATTCGACGCATAAACGTCGCTTCCGGTTATAATCAGGCGTTGTCCGAAATTAAACGACGCGACAGGAAACGTAGGCCGACGTGTACATAATATATGTATATTTAGATATCTGTATATTTATAGATTAACATATTAGAATGATTAGCGTGTTTATAAAGTCCTATTGGTATAATATTACCTATATTAATATGATAACATTGATTTACTATCCAAATTAACGAGCTTAATAATATTAGTGCGATATTAATATTGTGCTAATGATATTGAGCATTAATTCGGATAACAGCTGAATAGTATCGTCATTAACGAAGGTGCACACAGTGCACAACAGCAAAGGAAATCAGGATGAAATGTGCGCAACAAACGCTGCAGGTACATGCCTCGACGGTTCGAAGGAAGTGAGTTGAGGGCACCGGGTGCTGACGCGCTTCCTACGAATCACCCAACGGAAGAAAGAGCGGCCACTATGCCGCGTTATTCGACGGACGTTCCGCTGGCCACCCCGAGGAGCGTAAGAGGTATCACTTGGCGGTATCGGTCGTTCCACTGCCGAGAAGTTCGAATGCGGGGGAGTCACTCGCGAAATTAGTAAACAAGCAGAAAGGAACGGGCAACAACCGACCGCAAATCGCGTACATACAGTTGGCTGATTAAAGATTGCAGCACTCCTCCTCGATCCGAGTTTCCTCACGCATTCGGTGCGAGAGCATGCGTTTGTTCTTTTAGTAATTCTCACAAGAAGTGCATCGCAAACTTTACCTCGCCCGCTCGTACACTCGTACTTGCGAAATAATGATTTGGCCTCATTTTTCCCGATAAAGATGGGAGCCATCGCGGGTCGTTGCTCAATAATCGCTCAATTGCGCGATAATGCAGTTGTGACACAAAATGAGAAAAACAAAATGATAGTACACGGTGTAAAGCTGCGTATCCGATCCACAAGAGTACATTGAATATAATTTATTCAAGTAAGAGCGATTACGATATAAGTATGATTTATGAAATAAGAGTATGATAAATACACTCGCATTTTTCACGAGTCGTGGTCGATCGATGCGCTCCCAGTTTTATCGGAAAAAAAGTAAATTTAAACAGTTTCGCGAACAAATACACGCGCGTATCTTCGATTCACTCGCGGACAATTACGCTTCCTGAACGACCCAATTTCGTGGTTGAGAGATGATATTGTGCGGTTGTCGGCGTTAATCTCCAAAAATAAGCCGGCATAAACCACATATAAATAGTTATCTCTATTTAATTTAATTTCGATCTTCATATTTGCATTTCGTATAATTTCATTTGCATAATTTCAAAGAGTTAGTAAACAATGTGTCGGTACGCATAACGCGCGTGGTACAAAGACAAAGACAACGCACCGTTGGACAACGCACCGGTCTGGCGCAGTTCAGGCGCCTATATAAACCGTCGGCTCGATATTAATTAATTAATTCAAGCGCGCACATCGATCGCGCCGCGCGTTAAATTGCGCTCGTTATCGTCTCTCATCGATCAGCTGAATTTTCGGCCGGTCGCGTTGCGTCACTTTCGTATTATCGCGCACAGCCAGTCCCAGGATGACGACGCAGTCGTTGGACAGAAAATTGCTGATGGGCCCGAGCGAGACGGACCGCTCGCAGGTCCTCTGCAACAGATACGCGCTGGACGACCTGGAGGACGAGATGCTGAGGTGGCAGCAGCCGCAGCCGCCGCCGCCGCCTCGAAATAGAGGCGAGTATCGGTAAACTGTAGCACGGTATTACTCTGTCTATTACTCTGTCTAATTCTAAGAAGAGATGAAGATGCACGGGTTCGCGTCATAAATAACTCGCGACGAAGATGACGGATGCTTATCTTTTCCGGACCCTCTCGATCCGGAGCCGTCTTTAGTCTCTCAGGACGAACGAGTCATTATTAACGAGTCAATAGCGCGAATATGTTAGGCTTCACCAGGCTTCACAGTAAAAAACTCGCGCTTCGCCCGAGAGTAAATTCACTTGAGAAAGAAAGAAAGCAGCTGTTGCGTCTGTGGCTCCAAAATCAACTTCTGCGAAAATAGCCGTCTTTTCGAATGATCGGACATTTGCGCTCCTCGATACACGACGAAAGTGACACTTTTTTGTTCAGCGTCGGTTATTCAGCGTTGCGAAGAAAGTTCGCTCTCTGGGTTTCGGAATCTCTTTGACCTCGTGTAAGCAGCTATCCCCGTTGATGCTGTTATTAGCTCAGGATTCAGATAGAAATGTCCGCGGCGTCTGTGATGCGACGATGAAGCAGACCTCACTCTGCGAAGTGCTGGAAGAAATTAAACAAAACCGATGTCATTACAGTCGGGAACTCGGAGAAGCCGCAAAGCAACGGAACGACTGACGAGCCGGATAACGCCGAAAAGCAAACTTCCCTCAGTCCTAGACCCTTGCCGAGGAGATGCCTCTCCGTGGAAGGAACCACGACGAACAGTCAGAGAACGGGCTTGGCATCAGGGCTGCGACCTGCTCCGGTTTATTTAGAAATGGAGCATATGGGAAGGTCGCAATCCACCAAATCTAGACGCACGAGGAGCAATTACTCCGTCGGTGAGCGAGTCGTACAAACACGCTGAGATCCAAACTTGTGAGATCAAATTTGTGCAAAAATCTGAATTTCCCGGAGAATCCGGAAGGAGACGGAAAAGTAACACTCTAGGCTGAGAACTGAATCATTCCTGCAAATTAAGTCTCTCTAGAACCTATGAACATATGAAACACATTCCCAATCCAGATTTCCAGCATAAGTCGTATCATATATATTTAGTATTACCTTATCGAGAAAATTCCTTTGAAATTGCATTTAAAATCTCACAGGAAGATATAATGTGCTCTGTGTATATTCACACAGCTCTTGATCCGTTCGCTACATACCACACACACACACACACACACACACACACAGTCTTAGTTTCTCTGCAGATTCTCGCGCTGCGCGGAGAGAGATCGCATCTTTTTAAGATATTAATATTACATACAATACGTCGCGTACATTTTAATTGAGAAATCAAGAAGATGTATTGGAAAAGTTAATTGAGATGTGTACGCAACGTCCGACCTCCCACCTCGAGAGAATACCGAGCATACGCACTCATACAGCGGTTGTAGCGAACGTGTTAAACGTGTTAAACTGGTCGATCGATAAACCCGCTGCTCTCTGATCGTTAAATAACGTCCCCAGCGCGTTCTTATAAGCGCGGGCCATCGCCGAGGATTATGTCACCGATGGGATTCGCCGTGCTTCGGCAAGTTTACGCGGACGATATCGATTTCGATAACGAGTACTACGCTGCCGCGGATGATCAGGAGAAACAGCCCACCAAGCCCGTTCCCATCTGGCTGTGCGTCTTCCTGGTCGTCAGCTACATATTCGGCGGTGCCTACCTCTTCAGCGAATGGGAGAAGTGGCCGTTCCTCGACTCTGCTTACTTCTGCTTCATCACGCTGACCACCATCGGTTCGTGACCACCTTCTTCTTGTTGCTGTCCGCGCGAAACATTGTGTGCGAACCGACCGGTGTTTTTCGTTACATTCATCTCGCTCGACACGTCGTCGAACAAATAAGACTTTCTTCCAGCTTCCAAACGGTTTCGTGCGCTATTTTTCAACCCCGCATTTCAAACCCGCGTCGTTTATACTTGAAGCCACAAAGCCTGAGTTTCAGATTTTCCACTGAAAAATCGGTCTCGCTGATATTTTCTGCTTAACAACATGCAACGTTCACGCGACACTTTTGCGGCTCTTCACAGATTCGCCGGCGGTTATTCGCCCGTCGACCATTGTCGGACCGCGTTCGTATTGCAAATAACGTTAACGCAAAGCTCGCGCGACATTTCCAGGCTCTTCTCCATTTTTCTTCTTCCCTCTTTTTTTGAAGGTTTCGGCGACTTTGTGCCGGCGTACAAGCTGGACGCGCACAAGGGCATCGCCCTTTGTTCCCTCTACCTGCTATTTGGAATTGCTTTGCTGGCAATGAGCTTTAATCTGGTGCAAGAGGAGGTCATCAACAACGTGAAGAGCGTCGCGAAGAGGCTGGGTATCATCAAAGAGACCGACGACGAGGAGGAAGCCGAGGACTACGACGAATACGACGCCGAGTATGAGGAGGAGGTCTATGAAAACGAGCCCGAGCTCTGATCCCGCGCTTTTCAGCCGCGACATTCGACGAGATCGGCGGGACGACACGCCGCGTCATCCATCGTTGTCGCGCGTGATCTCGCGCGGGAATTCTTCGTTCACGTCTCATCCACGTTCACGTATAAGTCAGTCTCGCGATGCGGCTGTAAGCAGACCTAAGCTCGCGCAAATCGAATTCCCGATCGAGCGATACGTTTCGGGCGCCCCCCTCCCGTTTGTTTCTTCGTCGCGCGAGCTGCTACGCGACGACAAATCGGAATGCACGAACGAGCGAACGTGCGAAACAGATAATTTCAATCTTAATTTTACCGTATTATCGCGTGGCCGGCAACGTGAAAGCGGGGATGAGAGCGTTAGATAAATCCCGCCGAGAAAATTAACAGTTATCGTATGCTTATTAAGACGGATATTCGTTGAATAATCATCGTAAGCTCGTTCGAAAACAACTGACGATTTTAGCATTTCAGCGGCTGCTATGGTCCAATTTTCAGCACGAAGAACTCGAGTCTTTTCATCGATCTTCGAGTATAATACATTATTTGAATTCCTCACGCGAGGGGGGCGGGAGGGAATATGACTAGGAGATTTTTTTCATTTTTTACGTCACCGTAAATCTCGTTCTTTGATGATATCGAAATGCAGGCTTACGTTTAATTAATATACCGATGAAACAATGACGAAGCGAGAAATGCATTCAGCGTGCCCTACGGACTTACGGAAAATACTGCTGCGTAATATTGCCGTACAATATCTGATGTATACATACATCTGAAAATTAGATTCTATAAAATGAATGAGAGAATAATTGCAAAACGCAATTAAATTTGCATACGCATAGCGGTGACTTTAATATTTAGCCGACATTTGCATTTTGAATATCTCCTCTTCAGGTTTCGTCTAGCGTACTTGTTCGCGGCAAGTCTTACGTCTTAGTCATTAGACACGGCAAGTACATTAGATATAACTCTATATATATATATATATATATAAAGTGCAATTAGGTTTGTAGGCGATGGAACACTTGTTATATCATTTACGAAATATGTCATATTTATATACATAAATCTTTCGTAAAACCGTAATTCTCCGCATGTGTATGTGTGCTGTATTCTCCTTAAAGATAAATATTCAATAGATCAGGGGAGATAGCGCTTGTCTTCACATTCTTCTCTCTCAAAGAAGAAGAACGAAAGTTGATAATAAAAGCAAGAAGGATATAATTATTCTCTCCGCGAGCGGAATAGGGTATGCTGAGAAAATCTGAAAGACATGAGGGATTTTCGAGAAATATCCTCGGTTTTACAGTAGTCCCTTAAATTTCCTTGGACACACGTGCGCGCGCGCCACGCGAGAATATAATTATCTCACAGAAAGAGAGAGAGAGAGAGAGAGAGAGAGAGAGAGAGAGAGAGAGAGAGAGAGAGAGAGAGAGAGAGAGAGAGAGAGAGAGAGAGAGAGAGAGAGAGAGAGAAGAAGAAGAAGACGGACGCGACGTTTTCGCGCGGCTTACTACTTTCCGCGCGGGAGATTGTTCTTACAATATTTTCCCGGACGCACTTGCCGGATGCAAAATTCACGCTTCCTATGCAAATCCCTTTCATCCCTCTTTGCAGCCCGCATACATACACGCACCCATGCACATATATACGAACGTTCTCACACGTACAAGCGACATATACGTTCTCCCGCTGCGTTCGCAGCCGCATTTCGTCGCTTAAATCGCCAGGACGTTAATCGCCTCGACGGCGGCGGCGGCGGCGGCGGCGGCGGCGGCGGCGGCGGCGGCGGCGGCGGCGGCGGCGGCGTCGGCGTCGGCGACGGCGATGGTGGCGGCGGTGGCGTCCCGTTAACGGCTCCGGCTTCAACGACTCGATAATCGCGCGATAAAGCCCACTCGAAGGAGAAATAATAGCCGCTAAGAACTTCCGTTCGCGCCCATTATGCGAACGAACCACCCGGGCGCGCGAAATCTGCATTTCATAAATTTTAAAGCCGTTCAGAGGCGACGCGACGCGACGCGACTCGACTCGACGCGACGCGACGCTCGAACTGACTTTCTCCACAGAACGAAATTATTCTCCACGGGAGTTGAATATTTTCTCCCACGGAGTCTCATCGATGGACTCTGATCAAGGAGCATTGTCGAATAACCCGCTCTTTCGCGTTGCTTTCAAACACAAATTGTTCGCGAGACAAAAAGAGACAAAAGTTTCAATCGACGTCGATGATGAGAGGTGGAAGTATTTACTCCGAAGATGCGCGTCCGTCGATCAAAAGTCCGCTCTCAACCTGAATCTCGAACTTGTCACGTATCAGTATCATCTCATTCGTCCGCGCGCTGTAAGAAAATCGACCGGCGCTCTCGTCCCGCAGACAGTCGCGGCTGCGTCTGTCTACCGGGTGTCCCACGTCGGCGCGACCACCAGGCTCTCAAGCGACTTGAACCCGGTTATTTTCAGCGACGCGCTATTTCGGGATAGTGTGTCGTGCGCGGGGTGCCGCGAAATCAGTTTACGGGGGAGCCTCGTCGAGGCGGGTCGTTTTCCGCACGTTCGCACGTTGGCAATTAGGCGGCTCGATTCGCGATCGCGCGTCGCTGCTACCTGCCGGAAAAAAAGAAAGCTTAAATTGTCGGCGACAGATCGTTCGCGAGTGTACGCGCGTACGTTCGGACTCGCGTAAGCCTGGTAGCCACTCGTTCGGAAATTAATTACGCGCAAGTACGCGACGACGACGCGATGTAACGCGAGATCGCCGACGGGCAATCGGACAATCGGATACGGCAGCCGGTCAGCCGGATAATTAACGCTTGCACAACGATCGCACAGGCATACGTTAATTCCCGGAAATCGAGGCGCGGTGTCGTCGCGATCGGCGTGGGATCCCAATGAGACTCGTGGAAAATGATTTACAAGAAAAAACGGTAGCGAAAGCTGTAAGCGCGACTTCACCTTCTCCTTCTCCTCCTGCCCCTTCTTCTCCTCCTCCTCAACACGTGGTGGCTGCTCTTCGTAATCGTCCGTCTGGTGTATTAACCGCATAGACACACGTCGTACGCGGCTAACTATAGCTCGCGGAACGGGCATAAACGCGGCGATCTCGGCTCAATGGGGATCCGGGGATCGCAGAGTGCGCGAAGATACAAAGGATGGACGGATTGGGAGCCGATTCTTCTCGCGTACGTATCATCGGCCGCGCGTCATTACCTCCTACGTCGGGAAACGTCATCGTCGACGACCCACCGACTTACCGACGCCTCGATCGATTTTTCTATCGAGGCGACGATCGAGAAGGTTCTCAATGTAAATAATTCCTAAGGACAATGCTCGCAGAGCATTGCTCCAGTCAGCTTGAGCAGGTACGATGAGCTCCTCGATTCTTTGTACTCTACTTTACGGTCATCTGGTCAAATGCGACCGGACTGAAATACATCTCCCGTCGAGAAACATCTGACGTAGCGATCAATTCTATCACATATTCGCGGGGTATTTCGCGGAACGTTATTGACGTGGAGCGCGATGTTTGGGTAAAAAGCACGTCGCACCGAGCTAAGACGAGCGTGGAAATTTCGTGATAGTTTCGGGGCGATTTAAAAAACAAAATTGCAATCTCGCATTTTATACTCTGGCTCTGGGTGAAAAAATGAAAATCTTAGGAATAAAGGGAATATCGAGAGAGAGAGAGAGAGAGAGAGAGAGAGAGAGGGGGCAGGGGAGGGAAAGAGGGAGAGAAAACGAGGCGGAGAGTTTAATTAAAGTCGGATTCACCCGGCATCGCTGAGACTTCGGGGAAATCGTCGATCATTTTTCGTGGGATCGTAAACAGTTTCACAATAGATTTTGTTAAGCGGCCAAGTGGCTCATCCCTACCACGGCAGCTTCGTGTTTTCGATTCCCCGCAGACCATGACGGAGTCGATAGCAGACTCCGGTAAACGCGACGAGCGACGACGCTACGTGCGTCGCGACGCGGTGCACGCTCGCGGAGGCAGAAGAGTCCGGCGATAAGACGTTTTCCATTAAATTCGCCCGACGTAATTTTCTATTAGTCCCGGTCAGTGCTCGCACACAAGAGCCCCACGATCTTCTTATATCTTTCCTTGCGTTCCTTTTTTACTCTCCTCTCTCTCTCTCTCTCTCTCTCTCTCTCTCTCTCTCTCTCTCTCTCTCTCTCTCTCTCTCTCTCTCGTTTTCCGCCCTTCTCCTCCTCATCGATCCGTTATATTCGCATCGGCCGCCGTATTACTTTCGTAATAACGTCGTCGCGATAACCGATCGCTTTTCTAGGCCATCGGGTTTCAAAATACGACTTGAACAAGCCTTAATCGACACACACAGATACCGTGTGTGCGCTTGATGTACAGTGAAAAATGCATTTCCCCGTGATTATGCATCGTATTTGTGTGTCGCGTCGCGCGCTGCGCGACGACGGATACGATATTTTAATGTTGAAGCCAGTCGCGGGAACAAACATTCGAGTTACGATGACTAATTACTGATGATTAATCACACCTCGTGGCACGGCGAATCGAAACTCTTAATTCAGTGGCTGGGAGAATCTCGTAACAGATAAATGTTTAAACATTTATCATGATTTTTCAGTATTATCGTATATAACGTATTTAGAAAGCTTGCTCCGGAAAAAGCTTTCATCCGTCTATATCCATCTACAAAATAAAGCAAACGGGAATACTCTCGGCGAGATCATTTATTCGGCTGCCAACTCGGCGAGAGCTGAGCGGCCTGTCGAAGATCTCTTTTCCGAGCATCGGGAGATGACGCGCGACGCGGGGGCTGATTTTTCGACTTCGCTTTTCACGCGACAATGTGTATGTGTATTCCCGCGGTGAGCACGTGGTCCGCCGGCACGTTGTAAGCTATCATCCGACTGCGAAGATCAAAGGCCTCGGTTGAGCCGATTCACGTGGTCGACGCGAAAAGGACAGCTCTCGTCGTGCTCGGCGAGTCGGAAGCGATGTCCGCGAGTCGGCACGAGCTGACCGAGTCGAATCGGTGACGTCCTGAGGAGTGTCGTCGCCGATGGAGACGGACAAACCGTCCCGTTCGTCGGCCAGCCGGAGCTGGCAGCGTGGAAGTTATCGCAGCCGGAGCGGAAGACGGCGGAAACGCAGGCGAAAGCCTTGGGCTGAGAGGATCGCTGACTGGACCAGAGCCCTGATAGCCTTCCTCTTCAGCAACGTCGGCATCGTGTGCCTCGTGGTCGGCTACACTATAGCCGGTGCCTTCCTGTTCACCCACATCGAGGGCAAGACCAGTCCGGACGCCGCAGACGATGTCATCCGACTGAGAAACTTGACGGCCGTCACCCTTTGGGAGCTGACCTCCAAGGTAAAGGATCAAATTTCTTCCACTCATACTTGTCCGTCATTGTTTTGCGTGACTTTCGGAATGTGTCCGTCTGGCCCGATGGGACAATTTCTCAGCGTATCTTGACCCCGACTTTCGGAGCGCTCGCGAACATTTCTCGAAAATTTCACCGAAGAAACCTCTTGGATTCGTAATGGAAAAGAGGGATATGACAGCCGTCTAGAACTTGCCAACGAGAGAGAGAGAGAGAGAGAGAGAGCGTGCGAAGAGTTAATTAATTGATTAATTATTAATTTCTCTTCGTGTCGCACGCGTATGTGAAACGATCGATGTAACGCTTAGTGAAAAACTGAACACTCTCGCGTCGGGCTTTTGTACACTCCTTTGATGGCAACTTTCCCTTTCATCGTATTCTGATAATGTTGATGTGTTGTCTCGCGCGCAGGAGAATGTGTTCTCGGAGAAGCTGTGGAAGGCAAAGGTGCGGGATATTCTTGAGAGTTACCAGAAGAAGGTGGTGTTGGCCATAAAAAATGGATACGACGGTGTGGAGGAAAATAAGTGGACTTTCGCAGGCGCCTTTTTGTATTCCCTCACTGTGATAACGACCATCGGTGAGTCTCTCGTGTTCTGCTCTCTTCGTTGTGTGTATAAATGTGTGTGTGTGTGTGTGTGTATATATATATATATGTATATATTCTGTTGAAAACTCGTCATCTTCAATTTCGCTTTAAATCTCATTTGCTTTAATTCATTGATCTACTTTAATTTCTTAATTCACTTTAATTTCTCCGGAATTAAATGTGAGCGAACGAGCGAACGAACGAACGAACGAACGGCGGTGCCACGGTATATCCGCGTTTGTCTCTCTAGACGGATAAAACGCAAACGCGCTGAGCAAATATCAGGGAAACGCTTGAAAAATGTAGACAATTTACTCGCTGCCGGGTACTTCGTCGTACTAAACATGGCGCTCTTATTTGCGCTCTTAATGCCCGGCTAATGCCCACTTTTCTCGTTGTGACTGATAAATCT